ATGAAAGATCGTGGAACTCTACCCAAGGCATCAATTTGGGATTTCTTGTAAGGAGACCATAGAGGAGTATAATATTTCAACAGGCCGCACATAGGTGACGAAGAGGAGGAAGACATTTTGACCTTCATGGTTTTGAATGCGCGTAGTATGTAATTGCATATGGTGTGAGCATCAATTATATCTCGTATGTGCTTCTCGAACTCCAAAAGGCAAGAGTAAGTCACACTAAGGTCTTTAGCATTATTTAATACTCGAAGCTGTTGTTTTCCAATACACTGAATTGCGATTGGGGGTGCATAGCCCTGACTGGAATAATGAAGGTTTTTTCAATGGAAACGTCTTTTGGACCACCCCTCTACGGCATTTAAAGTGCTCTGCATCAGACTAGGGGAATTGTAGCAAAAAGCTTGGTATCGTCAGCATAATTTGAACAGAGTATATTCTGGGGAAGGCATGTCGGTAGATCACTGATATTGAACTGAAACATCAATCTAAGTTCCCTGCGGCACACCGCTCGTTGTTTGGTATGTAGAAGAGTTCATTGACTTGCACCTTTTGCGTACGGTTGAGTAGAAAAGATTTTAAAAATTTGAGCAGGCAGCTCTGAATGCCATACGCTCTTAGTTTCATAAGGAGTAGGTCCAAAACACAGAGTCAAAGGCTTTTTTGTAATCTAGATAGCAAACTGTGACGAAACATTTATCACAATCGCTTTTTGCCACAGAGGCACTGTAGACATGCTGACCAGTGCAGATCTTTTGGAAAGAAAGCAGTGCTGCGCATTATGGATTAGGTGGTTATATATACAATACCGCTCACAAAATGTGCAAAATTTCGTGAATGTTGCAGAATTCCAGGAATTCCGCGAAGATTCGCGAGATTTCGGGAATTTCGCGAAATTCCTGGAATTCCGCGAAATTCCGGAAATTTCGCGAACCTTCGCGGAATTCCTGGAAATCTGCGACATTCACGGAAATATTGCACATTCTGTGAGCGGTACTGTAGTAGATCGCGACTTGATGCGCTTTGTAATTTATTACTCACTTGCCGCTTACTTCTGGTCATGTGGACATTTCGAATAGCTAAAGTACAATGATGAGTCCACAGTTATGACAGTGGAATGTGAAAATTTTCTGCGAATTCGGCGATGTCGGCGAATTCGGCAGAGTCGTCGACATCGCCGACATCGCCGACATCGCCGAGAATTTTCACATTCCAAAGTCATAACTGTAGCATAGCTATGAGAAAGAGCGAACATTTCTGCATCAAATAATGTATAAAATGTTAGCATATCATCTAAGGAAATAGAAGTCTCGGACAACTCGATATGTGTTCAGTTATCCTTTTGTTTTCGTCTTTATTTCGGTGATGTTTCAAGAAGAAGCCTGGAACCTCAGCAGGACAAGAGCACCCGTAAGCTGCCAACTCAGGCTTTATGACAAGCCAAGAATTTGAAAATTCTTATGTTACCCAGATAATTTTATCTGGTTGTTTATTTTGATCGTCTGTAGGTTATGCACAGAGTAACTGCTTAATTTGCGCCTTTTTCGGATGACTAAACATTAGATTCAAAACTGATGAATTCCCTGTTTCACTGGAAGCAGTTTTTTCCGCAGCGCCATAATCAAACCCTGCGCTCAGATTCTTCCTTACCGAATTACCCACCCAGAGCGGTGACTGTCCGACTGTGTAGTTTTCTTGACAGTGAACCGAGAGTGGACAAGCCAAATTTTATTCATATCATTTCGTCAATTTCCAAACGTTTGCTCAAATTTGTGATTTCTGTCAGTTTCCTGTGCAAGCAGGCTCACTATTAAACCAGCTATGGTTACACTTATGGGACTTACGGCACTTCATGATCTCATTGTGAGTTTCGTAAACCGGTTATCCATGTTTGTTTGCATTAACTTGTGAATGTTACTCATTTGACTTCACACTGAGTACTGCCAACAAAAGCGAGTTTTTGAGAGGACGAATTGAAAGTTGGATGAAGAAATAAGTCGAGAAAAGAGAATTTTGAGGTTTTTTGACTCTTCGCTGTCTGACTTTTGCCATTAGGCAGCTTAGCAAAAATTTTGGAATGAAATGTGCAGGTGTAAAAAAGGTTGTGCTGTTATCGTTATCAGAAACGTCTTGAAACATCAGTTAGGAAGTTAATATTGAAATGAGCAGCACAGTTGAATTGGTTTTAGAATTTTTCATTCAATAAGAATTATCGTTGGACATAAACGATGATCTTCTTATCAACGTTAGTCATCCTAGTTAACGGATCCAGTATTGATCCAGTGATCCACTGATCCAGTATTTCCCCCTATTGTGAGTTCTATCCAAAATAAGTTTAGTAATTAGAGAAAGATGATAATCAATGAGAAGTGACTGATAATAAGCAGACAAAACCTGAGCTCACTACAATTCATTGATTTTTTTCTTGAGCTTGGTTTTTTACTGCCCTTCATAAGCAGCAAATCACAAATCAAAAAACTGGAATTCAGTATAGTTTAGACAATCTCTTGACCTTCTAGAGCTCACATCTCAATTCAATCCTTCACACTCTTTTTCACCCACTTGGCACGAATAGTTAAACAGTGCAGCATACGGCGCGCTAGTCAACACATGCCCTTGGACATGTCTGAGTTGGCCAGTGAAGTCAATTAACAAACTGCGTGATTGTTTGTGAACGTTAGTCACTATCTCTGAGGCCGAGGTTAAATGAGGAAAGACTATCCTTTTACTCGGAAATTGCATATAGTTCGACTCTGTTTGAACACTGCTTCTATCCGTTAGGTCCTTTTTTTCAAAACGCCTTGAGTGAATGCTTTAGAAATAACAATGTTGGAAGTTTGGCCTCAAGAGTTCGATTACAATTTCTATCTCGGTTTACTGCTATATATGTTCGCGAAACCTAGATACCACTTGTTTGCTTCAAGATACACTAAAAAATTCTGAATTAACCATTTTTTCAGCTTCCTTAACGAGACGTGGAATTGCGCAATATGATCTTTTTTGCTATTTTTCTACTGCCCTTTATAATGCAGCAAATCACTCAGATTTTAAGAAACTGGATATCATTGTTTTTTCAACGCCGTGAGAAAACTTTTCGTTTTTATATGTATCGCAAAAAGTCCCGAGAGCCTTTACCTTTCTACCTTTCTTTTTGAAACAAGAGCTCTTTGTTAGCTCGCGAACAGAGGCTTTTCATATCGCTAGATTACAGCAGACAAGCAAGTTTGCGTTGAATTGTTTTAAGTTCGAAAATTTTTATAAGCCTTATTCTAATGTGTATTTGTAGCACGTTTCTCTAATTCTCATTGGCTTCGTTCTCAAAATTTGTGCACGCTTGTGAAGTTCTTGAAGATATAAAATATAAAAACTTTGAAGCTGTATTTTTTGACGGCAGAATTCAAACTGGACTCTTGTCGACACGGTATTTTGAAACGAGCTCATTTCTAAGAGTAAAAGTGCATGTGAATTAGAAAGAAAGATGGTGTGGGGAGTTTGCGATATTTTCTTCTTTGAACCAAGCATTTCAAGCAAACAGGCATGGAAAGCTATACTGATTGTGCTTCAATCTAAAAAAAATTGAACAAGCCACAAACAAACCTGACTTTTATCAAAACAATTTGAATTAGAAGTACTTTAGGCCAGCAACTTACCAAACCACCTGTATATGTACTTGTATGTCCCTACTGGTATGTTCAATTCGTTTATGATGGCGCAACAAATTTGTACAATACTGCTCTCAGAACGTGCAAAATTTCCGTGAATGTCGCGGAAATCCCGGAATTCCGCGAAGGACCGCCAGGGGGGGGGGGGGGGGTAATCAGTGGTATCGGGTGTGGTTAGTTCTAAAATATGCAAACATGCCGTGATGATGCCGTCGATGTTGTTGTTCCCCTCTTCTGTTTGTTTAGTAGCTTCAAGCACCTATTTATTACTAGAAGGGGTGAGTTCGGGTACAGGACACGAATATTGTGTTCACCTCCCCTCCCCCAAAAAGCAGAATTTATCTCCTACTGTGCACCAATCGTGCCCCGAGAATTACGGTAAGGCAAGGCACCAGAAGATTCGTCTTAATGAGCTGAGTATAACCCTTGTTTCAGATCCAGAATTTATGCATTCCGAAGGAAGTTATGGCAATATTCCGAAAATTCCGCGAAATTCCCGGAATGTCGCGGAATTCCGAAAATTTCGCGGTCCTTCGCGGAATTCCGGGGTTTCCGCGACATTCACGGAAATTTTGCACGTTCTGAGAGCGGTACTGTATGTTCACTTGTGAAACTTCATCAAAATGATTCTTGTTTTTTTTCAATAGAAAGACCTTGAATTTTCAATTAGCAAAGATAATCATGTTTAAGATTTTTCGTGTAGATCCTAGACTTACCACCTTTGTTATATGGTTTACGTATAAGATTATTTAACATATAGAACTTTTTCCCTTCACGCAAATTTCGGAAATTCAACTGTGCACTTTACAAATAGCAATTTGAGCACCGCCTGGCTAGCGAGCAGTGGCGTACCGAGGGGGGGGGGCGGGGGGGGGCGCGCGCCCCCCCCGAGAACGGGTCGCGAAATTTTTGAAAGTTACTTATATGGGTTATAAAATTGTGCAAATGACTTGTCTGCACTTGTAAATAATTAAAATGATTTTTAAAATTTTTTAAAAATTCATTTTAGCTTTATAAAAAAATTTTTTTCGGGGGCGTAGCTGACGCCACGCCCCCTTTTTCTAAATTTTAGGGGTTGGGGACCCGCAAAAATTTTGAGAAGCACCCCAAAAAATTTTTCGGAGTGCGTGGCTAACGCCACGCACCTTCATTAGAAAAAAATTTTTGTCGCGCCCCCCCCCCCCCCCGAGCCGAAATCCTGGGTACGCCACTGCTAGCGAGCAATATGTCCACTTACAGAAATATCCTTACTGATTGAAATATAGTCGCACATGATTACTGAGTTATGTTTATTATTAAATTATTACTAATCAATTCCTACAACATTCATCACAACTATGTAATTCTATGAAGGAAATCCTGAATTTTTCGTGCTGTCGATCTAGTTCTGTACATACGATGCGGAATACTATCGAATGGATGATGGCGGCGTTCGCCCTCATAACTCTTATTATGATCAGCTTCATCATCTTCTGCTTGTTCTATTGACGAATCTGAACTTGTGGTGGTGGTCTCGACGTCCTGAAATGCTCAATTCTCAGCTTTGCCTGAAAACTCTGCTCCACAACCTTTTCTAACGCTTCTAATCGTTCTTCTAGCGAGGGCACTAATAGTTTGGCAAAAGAAGTTGTAGGATCGTCGTCAAGTAGATGGCGCGAAGGTGGAGGAGACATCAACGATGTGCCATATTTGATACGATGAAGTGTGTCAAGCGCCTGAAACATGTTTCACTAACGAAAAAAGTACTTTAACATAATCAGTACCTCATCGCACGAAGCCGCTGAAGAGTGAAGGCAGATCTGCTTTGCCTTCGCGAAAGCATCCCTAGCTTCAGGAGTCAGGTCTTTGTTTGAATCTTTACGCTCGCCCTCTCGACTCCGAAGGGAAAGACCACTTTGCGACTCTCCTGTCAGCTAAAAATTTATATACAGTGCAATATCCCACTTTCGCCTAGCTAAGCCTGAAATTTTTAGAAATGTCTCACAAAAAACATAAAAAGCATCTTATATTCTTGGCGATTCTTTTTTTTTTGAAATGAATTTTCTGATGGTTATCTCAGTGGTGATTCACGGCTTTCGAAAAAATCACAGAGTTTTAAACAGATTTATCACATTATCATTATATTTATCGCCAAACCAATGTGTGATTCGAGAAATACAAACAAAATCTTAAAAAATTCTAAACGGATGCTATGGAGAAGAAACTGAAAGATATTTGTCGCCGAGAAAATTTTTCTCGATTTTGAAGTAAAAAATTTCTCTGAAACAAGTGGCACGTGTTTGAGTTCCAAAGCTCTTTTGGTTTAGAAGTGATGTCAAAACAGTCATCCGGGAAATATTCTAGTTGAGACCCCAGTAATCCAGAAAAAAAATCAAAAACGAACACCGCCTATCCAGCTCGCGACAAACTGTCGTAAATCTGAGACAGATCAGGGCGATACATAGCACTTCTAGGCTAAACCTTTTGCTTGCTTTTTCATTATCTTTCTCGATTTTATTCTGGCAAAAACCACTTTTAGAATGAATGTCAGGTAAGACATGCACCTCTGCTTCTGAGCAAGAGAATACATTAATCTAATGGGACACATTGTTTACATGAAAGCTTCATAACTTACCTCTAGTTTGAGAGGCTTTCCAGCGAAAGGAAGTGGCAAATTTATACCGGACAAAGTCTTTCGGTTGCTCTCGGCTGTAGCAGCTGCGCTCAGCAGTTCACTCGCCATTCGAATAGGATCCAGCTGGTTCAACATTTGTAAATGCTCAAAAGACAGTTTGTCTGGTTACTTACCCTTTCGAAATCTGGGAGTTTGAAATTAGATTGGAAGTTGTTATCGTTATCACTGTAGTGGAAAATTCCTTGAGGAGTCCGCGAAGATGAGGTCGAAGCTATAATGTCTAAAAAAGAAATGTCATTGAATTTGGACGATTAGCACTGCTTTTTTACAGAAATGAGTCAAATGGTTTTTCTAAAACTAATCTCAATTGCATTTGGCAACAGAAAGCATTACGATAATCTTTTACGGCACCGCAACTCGCAGAGAAATTGTTTTAGTGTTAAAGTATCTCACCTGCTTCCCCCAGCGGAGGAAGTGTATACTGTACTTGAGAGAAAGCAATGGACACTGTAATAAATGTTGCAATCTACAATCAGACTTAATTTTGAGACTCACTGTTTTCGAAGAACAATAGTGTGCTGATTAAAGCTCTGTATTTCATTTACAGAGCTCGAGCTCTCATGCTCGAAGCGTAATGATGCGACGACGGGTGCCTAAAATGCGATGATGTTCAAATGAAAAAAATAGCAAATCAAGCAACAAGGGTAGGTTTACACACAGAACAAACTTCCACCAACTGCAGAGAAAAAATCTTGGAAGAAAAAAAACGTATTAGAAGAAGCACGTAACGAACATATATTTTAGCCGGTGGCGCACATCTTATAAATAGCGGACCAACGCCTGAATCCTTGATGTACGAGAACGTCAAGTAGCGTTTAACTTTTCATTTTGCTCTAGCTTCTGCCTGTTTTGCTGCACACATTATTTGATATTGGCTGGGAAAATTTCGTCATTTTCAACGGTTTGTAAAACTTTATAGATGACTTACAATAAACAAATAAATAAATATGTGAGTGTCTCTACTGCACCTTTGGAAAATTAAGTCAAGGGAAATTGGATAGTCAATTCTGCTTGAGCAAAAATCTTGGTGATGAGATGGTATAGGTAAAAATAAAATATCCAGTTTTTTATTCATCAATTCACATCTTGCTTCGAACTGAAGTTGGGTGTATTACGACGTATAGTAAGCAAACATATAACTTCACTATGTTATTTGCATAATGTATGGTCGAATTCAAGTGATCTGGACAATTCAGAGATTTCCACGCGCGAATGCTTAAAAAACATTTTCGACTACAGAAATTGATAAGCAGTTTACATAAGTTGCCCGAGGTTGTGCGTTCTAATCTCCAAATTATTTCGCTGTGCGCTTCCCACAGCTTGAAAAAACCTGAAAGCTAAACTAGTGTTTTTTCAAAAGGTTAGTTTACTGTTTTCATTATGGACGGATGAGTGATATAGGAATTTGAATTTATGTACTGTGTCACAAAAAAACAGCTGAATGACAGCTACTCGAATTTTTACACAGCTTCCAAAGTGCAAAAGGAGTATAAGCAAGCATTTTTACATGATCCAATGACTGGCCCTGGTTTGCGAAGGCCAGAAAGCTTATCATGCCATGAAATTTGGGTTCAGCATTGAATTGGCTACAATGTATTTATAAAAGCATAATTGTTTGTATACTCTTTTATGAAAAAAAGCTGTGTCTATGTAGGTGGCTTTGACCCGATTTTTTACACGTTAGATAACACCAAATTCATGGGACTATAACCAAATACCCATCTGATGCATTTTTTATGAATCTCTTGCAAATGCAGTACAAAGACAACACCCATGTTTTCAGCGGCCAAATACATGTTAGGGAAGTGCTCTACATAGACTATGTACTAAAGGAAATTAAGAAGTGGGATAAGATTGACAGGAAGAATACGATAATTCTGTGTTTTGAAACTTGCCGCATTTACTCCTTTCATGCACAGTTTATGTTCAGAAATATTTGCGAAACATTATGATCTGTTGACGCAAGTCTATGTGCACATAGTCTAGGAGTACAAAGCAACTAATATTTGTGTACATTGAAAGTTTAATCTTTTCTCCACAGTAATCACGGAACTCAGTAGTGATTTTGAGATTAGATCAGCTGCAACAGTTGCGAGTTGCGACCCATTTCCTCCTAACGATTTTGATACTACGATTACGCACAATCGATTGCAAAAGTCGAAATAGCAGGCATTATAAAATGAATGAATGTCAGAATAGCTGAACCTTACTTTATAAGCAATGGATATAGGTGAATAAGGATTATTTTCCATTGGTCAAGACTAGATAGGGGCTTAAGCCAAAACAGAGAATTTCAGAAAAAAAGTGCAGTGAGCTTTGAAGAATAAAGCCATTAGCAGAAACTTCAATTCATGTTAAGAAAGAAAAGAAGAGATCATTTGTAAGGCCAAAATTTAGAGTTTTTAACGAGTCTTATCCTCTCAGAGAGTAAAATTAGTGTCTCATAAAGAGGATAACCTTTTAAGAAGAACAAAGAATAAATTTTAAACAAAAAAGAGAGGCTGGAAAAAATTTTATTGATTGATTTATTACCGATTCTATGGACCTAATTTTTTATTGAAGCATTTCTAATGATTACAATTGTTCTGAAGAGTTGCAGCGGCCACAGTCTAATCATGAGGAAAGAGATGGTCAGCAAAAAAAATTATATCATATACCTTAAGCATAAAATAAATGCAATCGAATCATGTGGATTATGGGGGGACACGACAAAGTCAATGAATGAAGCCAATATATCTCAACTGCAAGTCACTCTGCTCACTGTATTAACAAAAATTTCTAGTATTTCTTGAAAAAAATAATAATTAATAATCCTTGAAGTCGCTTCATCTTCTCGACACTGATACGAAAAGGGCATAGAAAGCGAATTTGTATCAATGTGCGGGTGGTCGTGAAAATGTCGCAATGAAAGGGAACGCAGACGTAACCGCCTATCTGACCGACTGATGCGTAGGGATCAGAATTTGAAACACTTGAGGCAACTTCCTAGGTCCCATGAGAGTTTGATTCAGGTACTCTTGTGGTAGCTTTTTCAGCTATGCTTTTCCATAACTCATAGTCAGTGAAATTATCTCTAAAGGAGTTTTGCTCTTGTAATTTGACAAACGAACAAAATACATACTGTGCCTATTAAGCCTTTGTTATTTTTATCTTAATGAAAAATCTAATAAAAATTTGACTCTTCGGTAGATGCATATGCACTCAAAGATACTAAGTTGTTATTGTATTTTGCTTGCAATAAGGGCAGGATGAGCATTAGACTTGAGTAAGGAATACCGTTCGATAGAGCAAAGCACAAGATCTACAAGATAGCTATTAGGCCTAAGGCATAATTCGCGCGATTCCGAAATCTGGCAAATCGCCAAGTCGCGTGAAAGTGGCGATTCGGCTGAATCGCGTGAGGTATACCTTAGGCCTTAAACATGCGCATCGAGTGCGTTCTAGGTAAATCTTGAAACCAAAAAGTAGGAAGATCTGTGTCCTGGAAGTCCTATCTCAGACCCAGAAATCCCCGCAAACCTTTCAGTTGGTCATACGTATAATTCAATACCGCCCTCTGACCGTGCAGGATTTCGTGAGTGTTGCGGAATTCCGGGAATTTCTCGGAATTCCGCGAAATTCACGGAAATTGCACGTTCTACGAGCAGATTAGATGCACCTACTTATTGAAATGTACATTAAAGTAAATTTTTCTCAATCAATTTCAAGAACGGATAATTGGAAATGGCAAACTTTGCCTTCGCAAACCTAGGTTCCTCCCACCCATGCAGTTTTGCACTAAAACATCCTGGAGTTTGACTAAAATTTTACACATTCTCAACTGCACTAGTGTTCGAGAAATATCAGCTTTAGCAAAAAGCGCCGAAGCGACAAAGCGCGATTATTTTATTAGGTTGGAAACTAAGTTTTGCAACTGGTCTCATAACTTCCCTCTCACTCAACATGGCGCACTCAAATTTTGCCACTGCGTTGGTTATTACGTAAGCTACAAGCGCAGCTGCTGTCCTACCAAATTCTGACGTCGCAGTGTGGGTTACGGTAGGTGCATGGTATGAAAGGGAAAAATTCGAAGTTTGACGGATTTGGCTGAAACTTGGCATAGGGGTGTCAGACATGCTGATCACGAAAGCGATATTAAAATTGCGTGATAAGGGCTTTGTTGTAGGATTAATGTAGGTGTACGGTATGGGGTCTCACCCAAAACAAGGAAAAAGGCGTTGAAACAAATGCGATATTCGCGTTTGGCAGGTCAAATAACCTTACTATGTAAAGTCTTGGCGGAATTTGAGCTTCGGACTCTTTTCGAATCGTTCAAATATATGAGGACGACAAATCTCTACATGTCCCTAATTTTGTTTCTTTCTCAATAGACCAAAGGAGTCAACCTCCAGCAATAATTTGCAGACGAATCCGGATTACTGCGCATGGTCTAGGCTGCAAAAGGCTTCATTTTAGCTTGAAACCCCAAAAATTCTCAAATTTCACTAGTTCTCGGAAAACGCCTGAAACTTTTCTATTTCGTGTTGAAAATTTAGACAATTTGTGCTCACTTGTAGCTCACATTGCATTCTACATAATGCCAAAGTTTGAGTGCGCCATGTTGAATGAGAGTGAAGTTATGAAACCAGTTGCAAAGCTTAGTTTCCAGCCTAATAATTACGACCTAATATTTTCACCCTTAGTGATAAAATTGCAAAAAAGTTTCCAGTAAATTTTTGATTATTTAGCAGTATCAAGTGTCATTGCGGTGCTGTGTAACCTCAAAGGAAATCTAGCTTCCACATTTACGTTACAGCAGTCTTACTGTAAGCTCCAAAGTTTTCTATTCACCCAGCACAGCCTTCAAATTCATTTCATTGGTTTCCTCCTCGCAAAATCTAAAAAGTCTAACACTAGAGCTCATGACAGTTCCCAAAAACAAATTGAATATAATCTCTCGCCAATAGTCAATACTTTATGCTCGTAAACGGTAAATTAAATCAACCACTTTTATTAACTTGTTTATTGGCAGTCTTGAGAAAATATAAGGATAGGAAAACACGAACTTCCAGATTGGCATTTACACTTAAAAATTTGCCATTGAATCTGTACTTTCTGCATTCCTCATACCATGTCAACCGCGAAATCTAACTACTAACTCTTGCACAAAATATCTGTGTGCTACAACAACAAAACAAACAGCGAACAAGAGAACGAAATTTTGTTCATCAATACACCATCTGGACTTCTCGCTTTGCATACAGATTTCAACTTCCTTTTTGGCGACAAGTGTAGCGTACAACTCAATAGCGCCATCGGCAGGTTCATTCCCTCTTCCAAAAATATGGGACCTCACTTGCCTGATTTGTGCACCTCACGAGTGACCAGTAATCCTAAGCGGTCTTTTTACGCACTAGTGGTCCGTCTTCGAAATATGCATGGCATAAGCCATTCAAGTCTTTGAAATTCCCAACTCCATAGAAAGGTGTGTCACTTTTAGCCACGTGTCATAAAGAAGTGGCATGTCTAATAAGTGTTGCTTGCCTACCTACCATTGAAACTCAATCTTTATATCAATAATGACTGTATTTTTATGCAACAGTTCCAAAAATGAAAATTAAGGTTAAAAAATGTGATCCTCTGCTAACTGAACACGTGAGATTTGCCCACAACAGAGAAATAGGCTTTGTTCCCCACTAAAAGGGAAAGAAGAGTCATCCAGGTGCTTCAAGCCAGCATTTATATTCTTTCCTGGCTAAAGTCGCATGAAGAAAACAATTTGAAGAGAATGATATTCTTGAATAAATGCTGAAAACGACCAAAATGTTTAATAAACGTAATGGAAAAAAATGCTGATCACCTTATAATTCCTTAGATAGTCAATTTTTATTTTGACAGTGGCAAGAAGACAGTTTTTATAGAAACTGTGGGAAAAATCTTCTAAGCTTGAGCTCGTATTTCATGAGAGCATTTTGGAAAAATGGGTCCACGGAGAAGTACCCAAAAAATTTCTGCCTAAGAAGCTTCTGACTTGGTTTCCTGTCAGACGGTCAGGCTCCTGCTCAAGTACTACTATTTCTCGTCAAATCTTGCCTAAGCAAGATTTGACCAGAAATAGTAGTACTTGAAATCTAAGCAATCTAAGCAACATGCGACGAATGTTTGCGTATTCTGCCCTTAATTTGCATGACTTTGAACGAGCTTTTTCTTTGACTATACGATGTGAAATTATGGCCAAGATATCTTGGTGACAGTGACGTCAGCTGTGCGCATTCTGCTTCTAGGCCAAGTCGGAGCTCCAGTAATTGGAGCAACTTTACAAAGTTTTTTAGGGGATTGTCAGTTGAATAGCAGCTTCCTAGCACGAGTATAAACTCTCGAAGTCCCTCAAATAACAAAATCCTTGGTTTTATTGTATGTATATGAGCTCGCTATAGTTTCTTTCGATCAGAGATCGCTTTTTCAAGCACTTCACACATGAACTTCTGCGCATGAACTTTCACCTAGTTCTCATTGGTTCGCGCGACTGGCAGGAAGAGATCGAAATTTATTGGTCCGATCATTCTTTGTCTCACCTTAGTGATGCTAAAGTCTAATCCATTCGTGACGTTCTTTGATCGAGAACCAATTTAGACCGAAATAACTTCCCATGTTTAAGCACATTAAACTAGAGATGAGCGCTGGCGAGGCATTTCTACTGAGATGCATAAGTCATTTTTTGCATAAGATAAACTTGCATTCAAAATAGGTTAAAACATACCTAAAAGATGTGCCTGAGGATGCAGAGATTCGTTTCATCGGAAGGAGGAAGTAGATTATCCAACAGAGCATCCAACTGTCGCAACATAAAACTTTCATATGTTTCTTTGTTGTAGAATGCGCATATCTTCTCCGAAGAAAATCTCTCACAAAAGTCATCCATTGAAAATCCGTAACTCTTTCTGAATGAATGTGCCGGAAACACATTCGTATCCCCAAGATTGGAAATGTGAACCGCAACCACTACTTACCAATATACATTTCAGTGGTAAATTTCTATGTATATGCATTCAAACCAGTTGTATTCTCACTTTTTTGCACGCAGCACACCACAGGTATTCACATTTCCTCCTTCACATATTATTAGGGTGATCGGCAAAAAATGGGGCAGCTTGTTTTTTATCAAATTTTGAGATTTTTTGTTTCGATCAACAACAAGCAGGCTGCAACGTAAACGTCCTCATATAAGCGACCTTCGCCTATTATTCTGGCAAAGCGTCAACGCTCCTCTCCCAAAAACTTGAAGAACTCGAACAGGGTTTTTTGAACCTCGCTCATTTTTGCGCTGCCATACCGCAAAGTTATAGAGCATTTGATATACCATTCGAAAGAGCTGTTCATGCTCTTTCAAACAATGTATTGAACATACAGAATTTCTTTCTATTTCTGGGTAAAAAAAGCGAAATACCTGGAAAATCGCGATTTTTTGGCGCAACAAAACCAGTAAATCAAGTTTCAATCTGTATTTTCCGAAGATAGATGAAATGTGAGGTAAGCTGCATATGGATGGATAGAGCGTAAAAAGCTCTTTCAGATGGTACCTATAGAACATACGTTCACCTGCAAAGCATTGAATAGCACGTATCTATGTTCTCAAAGCTGCTAATGGCCATATCTCCTGAACTCGAAAGTTTGCACCAGCAACCCATCGTGGGTCTGGTGACTTACCTTCACGCATTGCAGCAGTAGTACTTTGGATGGTTTCGCATGTTTCACTGCGCAGATACTGCTCGAAGTTTATAATTTGTCAAAGTGACTAACTTTGCATTTCAGCCACTATAAAAATTATCAGTTATGTAAATGACCTTATATAGGTATGTTCTGAAAGAGAATAATCTATTCTAACATGTATCAAATATGTGAAGTTTAATCATTTTTCTTTTTTGAGAAATCTACATTTATTCTCTAGGTGCCCCATTTTTTACCGATCACCCTAATATCATTAATGAAATATAGAGGATTGTTCTGTAGTCTACCGGAGAAGAAAAGCCAGAAGTCTGTAACATACGGATGTTACTCTTGAATATGAATTTTTCATATGTATGGTAATTTGATAATTGGTATAATTTTTCAAGCCATGGAAGTGGCAGAATTTCCACAAACAGACTTGTGGCGACACTTTTTATCCTGTGGTCTGTAATTTGCAAGAGCTCACAATTGTTCGAAAATTATGAGACAGTTGATAAACAATTTGGAGCCATTTATATCATCAGTTGATAATGGTCACTCATCATTAGTGGTGGTGTTAACTTTATCTCAAGTGAGAAACTAATATCTAAGAAATGCGGCCTTTGAGACCACATAAACGAGATCAGATCTTGTTCCGGGTAAAAATCAGCTATATTTTATTTTGCACATTGCATAAGCCATAGTAGTAAAAGCCAAAGTTATTGTGCTCAATATACAGGTTGAAGGTAATTACTTCCATTTACAAGATTGAAGATATGAAACATAAAATCTAAGAAACCGGGCAATTTCAGTGCACATAAAAAATTTATCTGCACTTATGGTTACGTGCTACTCGTATTGAGGTCAGTACAAAAATCCAAGTTGTACTCGTTTTCAAATCTAGTCGATGCTTCAATGGAAAGCTAAAGTAATTACATCATCTCACCCTTTCGAATACCGGAGAAGATTATTCATCGCCACATTCAGCCACCAATGAATGCCAGATCTTATCGCGCGAAATCGAGAGCGTTGCCACCATTCGCACGCTATTTTTTCGACATCTGATCGAATTTTAGCGCCTTTCGCATTGCATTGTTTACACGACATGGAACATCGTAAGCGACGCAGACGAGTGACGAACTGAAAACTGTCGCCTTATGACAAACGCGGGGCCTTTGACCGTCGCTTGCCGGTATAAAACTAGTGGAGATCCGCTTGAGGTTAGTCTGCTGCCGATGGAATTGGACAATCGTCGGAAGGCCTACCGGCTCGTCGCCTATTCGGCTGTCACGTTTGCTGTATTCGCAGTGCTTTCGTTAAGTATAACGATGCCAATGGTTTACAGCTATGTGAATCATGTGAAGCGGAGCATGACTCACGAGATCCGTAACTGCAAGGTAATTTTCCAGCTCTTTCATAGTGATTTCGAATTACCTATATGCTTTAGAGCACGGCTAGCAACATCTTGGACGAGGTTTCTCACATCAGCAGCTTCCCTGCGAACAGAACAGCCCGTCAGAGCGGCTACGAGCAAGAAGGACCAGCTCCCAGCGGCGGAGACAGCAAATGCAGCGGATGCTGCAATCCAGGTCCACCAGGAGTTGCAGGAGAGCCAGGACGACCAGGCAGAGCGGGTAAATCCGGAGCCCCAGGAATGCCAGGACATCCCGGCAGGCCGCTAGGAATTACCTGCGAGCAGCCGACTCTTCCACCATGTAAACCATGCCCAGCTGGACCTCCTGGTTTGAAGGGACGCAAAGGATTACCTGGTCCACAAGGTACTCCCGGTGCGCATGGAGCACCCGGTATTCCAGGACCACCCGGTGAGCCGGGACCAAAAGGACCACCCGGACCTGATGGTGGTATGGGTAATTGCGGTAAAGCAGGAGACAAGGGAGAAGATGCTTACGCTGTTCCTGACATACCAGGAGAACCTGGACTCCGTGGACCACCTGGACCACGAGGACCCCCAGGATTGGAAGGATTGCCAGGAAAGGATGGTCCAATGGGTAAGTGACTTAGCAAAAGGTTTGGTACTTCCAGTGATGATATATTGATGGTTTAGGTAAAATGGGACCAGCGGGACCTTCCGGACCCAAAGGATTGCCTGGTCTTCCAGGCAAACCCGGAAAATCTGGAAAACACGGAAAGAAAGGAAAAGATGGAGAACGAGGCATTTGCCCGAAATACTGTGCAATGGATGGCGGTATTTTCTTTGAGGACGGCAGCACTCGCTAGTTGCATATGGCTAACGCAGAGTGTCTTAATAAAAGCTTAGAATTTATGTTTGGAAAAGCATGAACCCAATGGAATACTCAACAACAATTCATTTGTTACGTAGCGGAGATAGAAATGTCAAAGCATCCAGCCTCAAAAAAAAATTTCTCACAAGACTAAGAATTTTTTAAAAATTTTGAAAATATTTTTGATTGATGAAAAAAGCAAAAAGAAGTCTCTCGCACAATTTTGTAACTCAAATGAATGAACTTCAACATTTTCGCGATCCATTCTCATTGTCAGGGAGGCGTCCTCCCCTCGTTTTGCCACGGGAATACTGTAAATGTTGTACGTGTATTTCTAACAAGACTAAAGTGAGCTCCCAAATTCACAGCAAAAGGATGGTAAATCTTCTTAGTCCGCTCAAATTAATAGATTTGAGTGCTAAAAGATTGGAAAGCTAATTTGAGCAACAATGTAGCCCCAAGAGGGCCTTCCATCAACCATTTTGGTAATTTCATTGCCTTGTCCAGACTTCAAGGCATAATTTTTTGTTGTTCTGTATCTTTCCATTAGCATTATATCTAAATTGCGGCTGAAGGCTTATGACCCCAACTTGTCAGAGGAATTGGGTAAACTATGACAGTAGGTAAAGCAAAAAAAAGTATAAATGCACCGAGGAAAGTTTGGAGTCGTGTGCTCTAACATATGTGGCTGAAAAACTTCCAAAAAACCAACTATATATTGGTTATATTTATCTCAATGTATAGCAAATTTACATATGGATACGCATAATTATTTGACCACTAAGCTGAAGAAAATCCACAGCGCTGTCAAAATACGATTAATTTCATTTGGCATTATACGGTAAGGTTCCGGTAGTCATTCCGTACAAACCCAACATCATTGATTTTCATGAAAAATTGGGTTTTGGGGTTATTTCACGTGCTAATCACGATTATAGTGTCCACTTTGTTCACCACTTCCCTACATTGGGACTACGGTAGCAGTACGGTAGAATTTTCGTAAAATCAAGAAACTGATGTGAGAAGGCGATATTAGAACTTGAGGCTATCATTTTGGTATTTAGCATGCTACAAAACCTATATATGTAGGGTTTGACTTCCTGGGATGAACAATGCAAAAATCAATAAATTCAACAAAAGCGATAATTTTTTGATGGGCTGACATCAGTCTCGTGCCCTCTGCCGTATTTCTCATGCATGTAAACTTGAATTTTCAAAAACAGCACCTCTCTGCGAAAAAATTTGAGTAAAGTCTGTGCTTTATCTCTATCTACGGTATACCTACCGTAATTACATTACAGTATCCCGAACCCGGACCACTCTGGCTGAGGCTTTGCCGAGATGTCCCCAATCATGTTTCAGAACCCCATAGGATTCCACCGTAAACAGGCAGCTAGAGCTTCAGGAATCTTACGACCCACGGTGGGTTGTATTGTCTGAAACGTCGGAACACGTACGACCCATCGGTGGGTCGTATTGTTGTGAACGTGTTAAGCATTAATTAACGTTTCACTATTGAATTAGATCAATAATTACTTTCACGCTTTATGGATCATTTCCTGATATATGATATATGATGTAACTGGTTAGTAATGCTCAGTTTTTTCAGTGATAGATCCAAGAAGCACTCCAACTCGGACTGTCATAATAATCTGGCTTTTTTGAGCCGAGGCCGGTATAATTCCTAATTTAGCTCACGAAGGCTGTGGGGCACTAAAGCCAGGCTTAAAAATTTTCCTATCGTTAGTTTCTCTGCCTTCAAATAGATAAACATAGCAATTCAGTGTCCTTATATAATTGTGCCACTTTATGTGATATGAGAGTGTTATGGAAAACTTGTTATTTTGTCCACTGCAATATATCAAAGGATATAAATTCTGAAAATTGTGAAATCTTAGCCATATACACACCAAGGTAAGACTCTGACAATCAAAAAAATTATTTTCAAAACTAGAACTAAAAAATTAAAAAGTTTAATTAAGAATAAAATCCAAATTCAGAATTAAAATAAGTTCCAATGACAATTTTATATAGAAAATGAGTTAATTTTAACTTTCGCCATCCTTCCTTATCAAAGAGTTCCGGGGATGGCATAGAAACAGCACAGTACTCCGTCTAATGATCGGAACGAAACGGAATTCTTAAGCTATCCATACTATTATATAAAGCGCTAGCACCCCCATGTGAGTCAGCATGGTGTGTGTATGTTCCGGTGTTGTTTACCACTAATCCATACTATTATATAAAGCGCTAGCACCCCCATGTGAGTCAGCATGGTGTGTGTAGGTTCCGTGTTGTTTACCACTAATGGCAACGCGCCCGGCGACCAAGATCAGTCGCGCTGATGACGTCATACAATGCTGCCTCCAGAGTTTTCGGTCATGTTCTCCAGCGATGTTTATGAGTTGGCACCAAAAGCAGTGAAATTAACACCACTTGAACTGGCTGAATTGATTAAGCTGTTCCACTGACTGTAATAGCTTCATTTCGAAAATCATCAAGGGTTGGCCACATCGTTTGTACATTATCTCAACACCATTACGTTCTTTTTTTTACATCTCGCTTCTCTATTTCTATTATGGAGCGTTTAATTTGGAGGGGAGCATAAGTTTTTCGGAAAAGTTAGGTATTTAATATACTGCAGTCTTCCATAGTCCGTTTCTCGAGTGCTTAGTATGTTTCCTCACCGTAAAAGCTGCGCCAAATCTTCAATTATTCTGTCCTTCTATTAGGTTGATGCAAAAGAAATGGCCGATTTTCCAAGCCTTTTTTCAGGGCAACTTTTTTCCATCAATACTTCTTCTTTACAATGGATGTAGTATATTGTCGCAAAGCTGTTTTCATGCTCTATCTAACGGTGCTTGAAATGGGCTCTCATCCTCATTTCTTATAAAGTTACTAAGCTGTAAATAACTGCATCCTATCAGAATTTCATCGCATTCACTTTTCCGGCCAGAATTCAAGCGCGTATTAATGGGATTTCTTCGAAAACTTAGCTATTGTATGTAATAGAAATTGTCTACATTATGCATACTTAATTGTATTCTTTGAAGTTATCCAGACTGAGATATCGGAGCCTAAATATGGGTAGCTGTTGCGGTCATTTTATGACCCATAATTTTCTTGAGGAAGTCAGTCGCCAAATCTTTGCTCAATTCTGTAAGCGTAGAGCTAGGACATTTATTAGCAGTTTTTGCAAAAACATCCAGATGTTCAGTACGAAGAAAATCAGAAAATTCTATATTCCGGACCTTGAGTCACACTGAAAAAATGTTGAAAAAACTGAGAAATTTTAAATTTCAATTTTTTCTTTCTCGCAAACTTTTTTGTTTGAATTCTTTTTAATGTGTTTTGTACTACTGACTTGCGGCTACAAGATGGGCCACTTTTCATTCATACTAAGAAACTCTGAAGAAAGTTATGAATTGTCAAAAACAAGGTTCCCTCAGAAGAACCTTTTTTGTCTTTTAGTCCGTATTTCTCTTCCGTTCATGGTTTGAGTATAACTAAGTATGCGCTGTATTGCGAAAGGATTGCTGCTTCTGGAGGTCTTTACCGCATTCAGAAATGTGGATCTTTCAGAAAGTTATAGCACATCAAAGTGAGAAATCGCAAATCGGCCATTCCTTTTGCATCAACCTAATAATTTTTCTGTTAACGTATCTCAGCAAGAAGAAGTTCTCCGTGAAGTGCTTAGTGAATGTTATTATTCCAGGTAAACTGCACTAAATCTATTTTTGGAGGATTCTCGCAAACTTTGCTCTGGACAGTCTTTGTCTACGATTTTTCATGAATAAGCACTTTGTCTGAAATGTCTACACCACAGGCTCTTTAGATTTTCTTCTTTTCAATTCACATGCAAAGATGTTTGTCAAAGTTGATGAACTTCGAAATTTTTGGACTCCATTGAGTTGACATCCCAATACTGTGTGAACCTTTTAGATAGTTGCCAACAATTGTACGAAAAACTATTTTTCCAAACGAATACAGCGTGGTCATGCAAATTGTCTTAAGACTCGATGAAAGCTGGATGCAAAAACCTTCTTCAGCTAAGAAAAGTAAACTCTAAAGAACACTTTCAACTTCCCGAGTTTTCCTTTAAACATCAAAAATTCGAAGAGTAATGTAAAAGAATGTCAATGCGATTGCGTTTGCTATATTAGGACTAAATGGTGTATGAATCTACCTTTAGTATCTCAGCTACGAATAAGAGACAAGGTGGCATGCAACTTAGCTTTACGCTTTTAAACTAAAGCTTTACCAACGTACAGCGTAGCTTTGCCAGAATATTGCACAACCTCAAAATTGTATAAGAAACGAGATATGCCTAGGTGAGCAGCTAGAAGCATGGACACCTTTAAGTAGGTTCCTTGAAGAATTTGAGCTTGCTCAATAAGATGACCTGAAAAATGATCGATTTTGGAGCCTACGTATGAATTGCAAGGATGCTGGATATTTTGGGAACCTCATAAAACACGAACGAGATTTTCTTGAAATAAAAGAGAAATTATGACGCTCTCAAAAAGAATACTGCTGAAAAGAAAAAGGGAGTGTTCGAATTTGTAAAGCTCTAGATTTGGTAGTTCCAATGTTGGCTGTATATTTTCGAAAATAACAATTCGAATTTTCTTTAGTTTAATTTCGGGAAGAGATGAAAGTAGTCTCATTGAAGCTTCTGGGGTGGGGGGGGGGGAGGGGGTTCTAAGGCAGTTTGGAGGGTCAAATGTGGGAAACGGCCCCGGGTGGGAAGAGTGCACATGGCTGGGATTACTTTATCGGGCTTGGGACGGGCGCTTCAATCACAAAATTTTTTTTGCGTTACGTTTTTTGTAAAAGTTTGAGAGCATCCGAGAAACTTCGCAGCATGGAGAGCTCAGGCTAAGCCTGTCTAAATCGTGACCAGACTGAACATTTGAATAAGCAGATTTGGGGGCAACTTCCGAAGCGTAAGTCAGAACGGCCTCCTACGACTAATGCTCTCAGAACTGAAGAGTGCGAGAATGCGAGAAGAGAGTGGTACTTCAGCAAAGTTGATTAAGAAGTTACTGGGTTAGTGAGTTGAGGGGAGGGAAACCTTGAAAGACTGGGATAGCAAAACGCAAGATTATTTAAGATTCGAGCATATGTGAATTAAGTATCTGTAAATTCGTGTCTCAAGGAAGTGGGTGCGGTTAGAAAAAGCTAGGAGGGGAGCATTCATAATTCTGTTGCCAATTTTCATAAGAAAATTTTCGAAACTTCCGAAAGCAGGAAAGATCCGTTACTTTGATAACTTCTGGGCTCATTACATGTTCAAATCCATGCCATACTTTTGGAGAGGAAAAGGTTCGCTACAAAACCTCAAAGGTTCTAACTTTCAGTCACGTTCCCACTTCACACACACAGCCAGTCCAAAGCGCCGCGAAGCGGCGCTTTGGATTGGTCTTATATATAAAGCTGAATGTCTGTTTGTCTGTCTGTCTGTCTGTCTGTCTGTCTGTCTGTATGTCTGTACGTATGTTCCGAATAGAAAATTCCATTTCTGAACCGATCCGGACCAAACTTGGCACACGTACACTTCGGGCCCCGGCGGAGCTATTTTTTCGGTGCCCGCTTGCCCAAAATTCGCATGACTGCCTGCCCCCGGCGGGTATCTGACATCTGACATCTGATCACCCCTGTGGGGGTGATCAGCATGCTCGATTACACTCCTGTGCCAAATTCCAGCCCCCTAGCTCAAATTTTGCAAAAAATCGATAAAATCGACATCAATCGATAACGAAAAGTGGACTGTGACACCCGCCGGGGCCCGAAGTGTATGTGCGCCAAGTTTGGTCTGCATCGGTTAAGAAATGGAATTTTCTATTCGGAACATACGGCGGAGCCGGGTAAGCCAGCTAGTAATATTATAATTATAAAAATTAACTATCCCAATTATTATTGCAACGCAACTGAAACACTGTTTTACACAAAAATGAAAAAATTCATACTCATTGAGTATCGTTTGAGAGTATGCAAATCCTCGGCATGCGTTTCTCTCGTTTTGAATCCACATTTGGACTCGTTCTTGTCGTCATAAATATGTTCAAAAGGGCCTAGTAGTCTCTTGCTTTATATACATTCAAGAAAGACAAAGAAAAAAGAAGAACAAATAGACAAAGGGAAAAAAACAAAACGAAATCATTCCTTTCACACTTTTTGCATACACCATTATATGGTGTACTTTGTGTTCCTGCATACATCTTCATTTGATGTACTTGTATTTTTTTAGTAGCTGCGTCCTGCACTTGGGCCGGTTTGTATGAGTAGTGCATTTTTTCGTCCTTTCTATGCAGCACTTGACTTTTCTAAAATTGAACACTGTATTGTTGGAAAAAATGAAACGCTCAAACTCAAAATATTAGGTCGTTCCGAAAGTAATGTCGCTTTTTTCAAATGAACACCACGTTTCATGGAACCAAGGTTTTCAAGAGATCTTAGGAGCATTCGATGCAGCATTTCATCCTCTTTCAAAGGGTTCTAGTTCCATTGCATAATTCTCATTGATCTTTCGAAAAATTAACAAAATCTGCGACTCATGCTTTTTGCCATGGTCAAGTTCGGCTATTTTTCTTAATCTTTGTACCTATTCTCCGAAGAAGCACAAGTGGCAGGTAAATAGAGCAAACCCTATAGGACACAAAGTAATTTTTTCTTTTCCTTAGCTTGCTTCTCAGAGTATCCGGAATCAGTTTTAAAATGCCATCAAATTCCGTATTTGGTCAACTCAAACTTCACAGAACAACAATCGGCAAGCAACTCGGGTGTCATTCGACGCAGCTTTTTCTCCTTTTTTTACCAGTTGTTTTTGGTTTCCGATTCATCAAGTTTTCCGAGATAAAATCATCATAATTCAAGTTTTCCAGGGCGCCTTCGGCTGCACCCGGAACTTTCAAAGTTGCTAATTTGAAGCGGTAAACGCTCATTTGCTTTGTAAAATTAATGTAAAACCGTAATCCATCTTTGTAAGTTTCAAAACCCGAAGATTTCTTAGTGTTTGATGCATTTGAGTCTGAGACGAACCTACTAGGATTCGATATTTTCATCAAAAAATCTGTACAGAAATTATGACGAGCTCTCAAAAGTAGAAAAAAGTTGTGCTGTTTCCCGTAGGGTTTGCTCTATCCATACATAACTTGGACTCCTTCCGGGGGTTGTTATAAAAATTTAGAAAAATTGTGAAACTTGACCTTCTCAAAAAGCATGGGTCGCAGATTCCGATAATTTTTTCAAAGGTTATTCAATTTTGTGCGGTAATTGTATAACCATTAGAAAGAGAATGAAATGCTGCATCAAATGCTACCAGAATCTCTTATATATCTTTGTTCCATGAGATGTGGCGCACGTTTGAAAAAAGCGACATTACTTTCGGAACGACCTAATATTTGTAAATCATCTAATTCAACCCTACGTAAGTAGGTGAATAAATCTAGTTATTTTACAAACAATTTTTTCTACTCTTCTTTTTGCCTGAAAATGATGTCTGAAGTTTTTGAGCGGGGGACTGACTCTAATAAGCTGCATAAACTTTGATCTTACCCTTTCCTCAGCTTGTAGAACGTGACCTTCGGCAGCCGCGGTGGTGGTGGTGGTGGTACGACTAAATAATGTTTGTTTTTTATGAGGTTTATACTACTCAATTTTCAAGGCGTCTAAGCCTGAAAAATTCATTTGTATACAAATTGCAAGCACTCGGACGAGTGGCTTAGTGGTGGGAGGAGCAGCTAACCAGGTCAGACCAAAGTTCGACGCCTAGCCCCAACCCCTTTTTCCTCCTATTTTGGTACATTTTACCAGAGCAATCTGGGGGGTTCAAAGCAAAAACCTGATAATGCTGGACATATTTTCTTCTGCTATGGCATAGAATTCGCTCAAGGCATGGCCGCAAAAAGTTATGAAGAAGCTGAATCTTTGACTTTTTTATGCTGAGCACTCTGGGTACGGTGAGGGGGGAGCAATAAATATTTGATTTACTCTATGCGTCAAAAATCGCCAGAGATTGGCAAGTTGGAAACTGAATGATTTCGTAAAGACAATAAGTGTTACAATTTGATGTTGTCCATGGGCATAAGTCGCGAAATATCCATTGCCACCGATTTTGCAATTTTACGATGTCATAGCTGCGAATTTCGAATAATTATTGAGTATCACTTTTGCAAGACATAAGTCCCATGTTCTGTAACCTTAATTCAACTGGCTTGGCGGCTGGAAGGCGCGGCTTTGTGACCTACTTAAGGCCGTTCGGCGCCCGCTAAGCAGTCGCGTCTCCCTCGCGCGCGTGCTCTCTGATCATTATCTAGCCACAATCAGGTCACGAAGCCCCGCCTGCCAGCCGCCAAGCTATTTGAATCAAAGGCTATTCAAACTCAACTTATGGTGACAAGTGAATGTCAGGGGTGCTAAGGCTCACAAACACTTTGAGTATTGCCAAATGAACAGTATGGACCCAAAGCCTTAGCATTCTTGAGGTACGGTATCCTATAACTACTAACTTGTCCGTGAATACCTTGAAAGGTGAGCAGGACTTTGCTTTCAGACTCAACCAAAACCTCACTAGCTAATTGCTTTCGAGTTTTTTTTGACTATCTCAAAGCCATAAATTCATAGTCATAGCGTGTCCATTACAAAACAATGACATTTCCATTCTCTGCTCCACCCTTACCACAGATTTCTTAGCAATGATGCCTCAAATCTTCTAATCAAGAGTTTTTGGCTTCCATCTTTTCCCTTCCCGCTCAAACAGTCCAAATGACGGCGCGTTTCTGCAAGGATAGTCTAATCGAAGTACAGTCGGTACAACTACGTACTCCCTTCCGCGTAAACTACATACGCAACGCGAGAGCTTTGCGTGCGGTCCTCTAAGCTATGAGACCAATTTGAGCGTTCAAATCATACGCAAGCGAAGGTGGCGCGAAGGCTGGCGTGGCGATTGGGCTTGCGGAAAAGGTGACACGTGATTGACACAGGCTGTAAACTTTTTGTTTAATTTATATTTCACTCCTTCTCCAAGATGCCATTGTAACACACTAACCTTATGCAGCATTTCCTATTTTTTATTTTGATATTTTTTGAAAAATTTTCTTGGTTTTTCAATCCTTTGCTACCAAATAAGGCATTTTGAAGAGCAAAAAATCACGTTATTCTATACAATAATTTTCCAGAGATATAAGCCAGAAGATTTTTGATGAGGTGCTCGATGAGAACGAGTTTGGACCCTGCAAGAAATGTCGAAATTTTGCCCTCAAATTGGATTCCCCCCCCCCCTTCTCACCTTCACTCTCCATTCCCACTGCAATTGATGAGAAGGTACAGAGTACGATTACGCTTTGGCTATTAAAGCTCAAACTAACTAACAGGAAACTACGTAACAGATTCCAACAATGAAATGGAAAACAAATCCCATTTCCCATTTCTTTTCATCATTTCCCTTCCGAAGTGCACGATCTGATGTGAATAAGGTAAAGAGATTTTGATAGGCTTTGCATTCTTCCGGTTGGAGTTGATCGAATATAATAACAGTTAAAGGAGGCATAACTTATTGGTGGTCACGACTTGCTTGTTTTATGGAAAGCTAGAGAACCGAGAGTAACACTTAAACTGATTGGTATAACTCACCTTTCGGTTTGCATTTTTCTATGCACTCGCCCTTCGTTCGAAAGCAACCATCGTCTTTGAAAAATTGACAATATTTACCCGTGGCATTCCAGCGGTAGCTGAAATTTCACTCGCTTGCAAAGGAGAAAAAATCATTTCAAACAATGCCCTACCCCCAGTGCCACGTGCATGGCCCATATCTGTTGTCGTCTTCTTTCATACCGCAATGTCCACCTGTGTTTAAAACATTTTATTATGCTTTGAGCTCGTCCAAATTTGACTATCGCTCAAACTTTGTTGAATTAGCTTATGCTAGTAAAAAAAGGGGGCTCAACTGAGCTGCTTCAACGCGCGGAACATTTTTATTTTTTTTTCTGTCACATTAGCGATCTATTTCACTACGGAAGAAGCTTGAATATTGTTTTGCGGCCACATAAATTTACTTGTAAAGGAAGTAAATACTACTACTCTCCCAATAATTATGGCAAAAATGTACATCTTCGCTGTCAACTTTATACGAGAATGCGTCAACTGTCAGAAAATTTACTTGATTTGCATCTCAGATATAACTTAGAAAACTCAGCAGGATTTCTAGTTAGCTTTTAAAAAAGATTTTCGACGCTACGTTCACTGCCTCACATTTTCAGGTTATAGATTCCCAAAATTTTCGGTAACATAGATGCATAGATAACAGCGTAGAAGAATCTTACTCAAAATTACAGTTGGTGATATATGCCAATTTTATGAGCTGCTCTTTTCGAAAGTTTCTGGTCATTGAACGTCTCCATAAAAAGTTATGATTATCGAAAAAAAGCGCCAAAAAATGAATTTTATTGTTACTCGTGCTCTCATAGCTTTAGAGAATTCCATTTGCAATTGCTATTTAAAAATGCCAGATCCTAACATACAAGATGGCAACTTTTAAATATAATATTATTCAAAATCCCATATTTTTTACGACCAAAAAAGACCAAAATTCCTTCAATTTACTTTACCGCTTCTATATAGCGTGATAAAGGGTCTTATATGCTGTCGTAAAGCGCTTAAAGACAGTGGCTCGGGAAAATTCTGTGCGAGCTTTTCGTACCTATATGGCCTTCTGGATCCGATTAGTTGTTCGATATGTTTGAAAAATCAAAAAGTGGTTTTTTCCCGTTTTCCGGCTTTGGAGAATGCTGAGGGGGCTGGGCGAGATACTCACGCCGAGAACAGCGACTGGCTACAGGATACTGTAACTCCACCCATTTCAGCGCCAATTGGCTGATCAGCTCAGGCAGCCAATCGCAACTCAGTTGGCAATCTCTCACATCTCCAACACTTCACGGAAAGCTCGTAACTTTGAGGTAATGTCTTCAAGCTCTTCCTTCGAATTAAACTTGAGTCGCTAAAATTTGTTGACAAATCAAGAAGTAGGTTTTTGAGAAAAGTGCTGCAATTTAATATTTTTAATATTGAATGCACCTGTGAGCAATAAGGAAATGCTGACAAAATGTAAATTTTCTTATCCGTCAAAACTGAACGATTTTACGATGGTGAAGCATACTTATTGCTTTGAATTCTTGAAGTGAATAGAGCCGATAGATTTTCACCTTTGGGTTCCTTATCGGGAGCGCATGTTCTCCAGCATTCTTGAATAGATTTGAATCTGTTCTCATTGCCTCCGCTGCCCTTATACCAAAGTATTTGGCATGTGTTATTATTGAACTTAGTATTGAACGAGAAGTAATATCTGAAGTGATTGGAAATATGACGGGTAGCAGATGGAGACAATGTCAGTTGTATCTTACTGAAAGATAGACTTGTCACCCGTGCCTTCATCCTTTTCCAGCTTGCATTTATCTGTAAAAATATTATGTAGGTTAGTCACCTTACAACAAACTTGGCAAGTTTTTTCTGGGAATCACCCTTCATCTTATGTGCGGAATAAAAATTTTTATTTCCAAACCGATTTGGACCAAACACACACACACACTTTCGGGCAGGAAGCATGTCATAGGCTATTTTTGGTCGTCGATCGATGCCGATTTTATCGATTTTTATCGATTTTTTTGTAGAATTCACCGGGCTGGGAGTTGGCATAGGCGGTATGTGAGCATGCTGATTACGAACACAGTACTACTTTTTGAATTTATTGATTACTTTTATCGATTTTTATCGATTTTTTTGTAGAATTCATATACGGGACTGCGGGGCATAGGGGGGGGGGGGGTAATCGAGCATGCTGATTACGAACAAAGTATTAGTTTCTGGTATTGTCCATTACTTTTATCGATTTCATCGATTTATACAAAACTTGAGCTGAAGGGCTGGTAGTTGGCACGGTGGGAGGGTGATTGGGCATGCTGATTTCGCAACACAGGGAACGGGAAATGAAGTGTAGAAGTCTGCATAGGGAAAGGCTGTGCAGAGATAGGGATGGGACCTTTATTACAGAGTTTTGACAGGGCCGCAGAGCCAGGTAAGCAAGCTATAATATACATAGAAGGCTACCACCGCTAAAAAGCAACGTATCGTTTTAAGTGTTTGAAAAAATTAAAGGCTGCGTCCGGGCAATCTGGACATAAGGGGATCTCACGTGGACAGTAAGTAATTTAGGGACCTAACTAAGACACTGTTCAACCGGCAGCTCAGATAATGTTCTAACGGCTGAGATATTCGCCTCCAAACTGGACCCCAGGATCGTATTTCGCATGGATTCATGATGCGACATCAGTTTCGTGTGGGTCCTCGCGGGAACGCATGCAGATATGATGCAGTCCGATAATACAATCCTGGGGTCCAGTTTGGAGGTGTATATCACAGCCGTTAGTGATTGCGCTGCCGTTTGAGCCCTGCCTTAATTAGGGTCCCAAAATTACTTTCCACGTAAAATCCCCATAGGTTTGCCTGGACGCTGCCTTTAAGGTGTTTCGAACTTCAAAAAACGGCATTTGTACACATAAGGATGTCTCAAAATAGTGTATCGAACGTTTGTCCTCTAAACGCTTTCTTGTACATACTAGGTGGGCACATAAGTTTTGCAACTAATCTTAATACTTTTTTTTGACTGTGGCGCTTCATTTTGGACATAATGTAGGCTAAATAGTAAGCTACAAACGAGCTCAAACAATTTGTTTTTGATAGCAAGTTGGGAAAAACTTACGCACTTTTCGAAAGCTGCTTGAATCCGAACTTATCAAGGGTCAAACCAATACAGTTGCCGTTCTCATACTGAATCAAACGCATCAAGCTGAATGTATAAAACGTTAGAGATTCTTTTAGCAACAATCTGGGTACAGTTTCCGCTTGATGTGTTTTGATTCAGACTGAGAACCTGTATTCTTGGTATTCCGACACTTAAAACTTCGAATTTGATCAACTTTCGAGAAATGCGAGAATTTTTTCTACTTCGCAGTCAAGAATCAAACTGTTTGCGCATATCTGTAGACTATTACCCAATCTACATTATGCCCAAAAATGAATGCGTCATATTCAGAAAGAGTAAAGTTACAAAATCAATTGCAAAACTTATGTGCCAACCTATTAAAGTTTTTACATTCATAAACACCATGTTGTAGAGGTAGTTTCAGTCTAGATCTACAGTTTGGAGCGAAACATTGGTCGCTCTTCATTACTGTAAAAATACGGTAAGACTTCTGATGAGCCACTGAGAGCCCTACCTCACCTCAAGAAGCAAACCATACAATCTGAAAACTCCTACACTAAGCTAATTAAGCCTCTATGTCACCAAATATGAAATTTGCACTTCAACGCAATGCTTACCATAAGTTATGCCAAGTAAACCTAAATGCATTGACAATGCTCCCTTCTTCAATAACTACACCATTTGAAAAGTTTTACAAGCTCGTAAAAAGCTGAGTAGTAAAATGAGCCCGCCTATCGTGGTACATAATGTTCCAGATTTTTTGGAACTTCAAAATACGCGCAGTCGAAATGACGCAGGGGAAAATCCCTAACATTCTACCGTAATCCTTGGATAATGATCGTTGATTGACTTCCTTCGGATATGTCATTTGCATAATGACTTCACCGTATAGCAACGCGAGACTGACAGACTTTAGAAAACCCTAACCAAGCTCTTCGAACTTCCGTCAACACTTGTGGGAGAGGAGGGAATACCTGTTACCAAGATAATAGGCGAAGGTTGCTTATGTAAGTGATGTTTGAGTTGCAGCCTGCTTATTGCTAATCGAAACAAATAATCTCGAAATGCGATAAAAATCAATCATCTCATTTTTTTCTGTTCAGCATAATAGATAGTAATAACTAGCCTGGCATTCTCCATGGTGGTGGTTGTGGTGGTGCAGGCTTTTGGGTGCACATCGCCTTGCACTTCTTGCACATTCTATTACAGGCGGCCTTTTTATACTTGCACACTTTTCTGCATTTCCAGTAATTACCAGCTGCGTAAGATAGTTGTCTGAACAAGACTTGAGGGAATGGGTTGTCAAACAGCAAAATTACTATACTTACTTTTGGCCGATCCTGCACACTTCGTGTCCGTTCGAACGCCTACAGAAGTTAGCTGCTGTCACTGAAAATGTATTGCATTCAATCATTTTCAAAGATTATAAACACAATCTCTTGAACTATAGATTGCTTCCAAATAACACGTATCGCATCATATTTGTAGATGACAATACATGTTAGAAATATTGTTCTACATTTTCAAGAAAAAAATCTAACCTGGTACGATGCAGAAGAGCAGAAGCGGATACAGCATAGTGTACGAATTCTTCAATTATTGGCTCTGTAACAAATCTATCTTTATTTTACCATGCCTTCTCTGTCGTGATGTAGTATATATGAGTATAAGTGAAACCAAAAGGTGAAGGTTACTACATAAAGAGCAGCTCCGAAAATTATATGTGAGCACTATTCTTATCGATTGGACAAGAAACAACAAAGATGAGTTTTACATAAAAAGCTGGAAAATAAGATAGTTAGCGCTGTTTATTTCTTCGGTCAACTACCATTTTCTCAAAGAAATCACCCTGTTCAATCGATAAGATTGATTAAAGGTTTGTCGGGTTTGATTAAAACTAACTTCTGGATAATAGACTGACCCATAGCTGATAATGAGTGATAGCATAAATAATACTCGAATAAAAAATCGCACCTTTAATTACCCTTTTTTTCCGACTTTTCAATGAGGCTCAAGTTCCACAATTGCACACCCTTCGTATTTGGATGGAATACAAAGAATTTGCTTAGGAGTCTTCGGAAGCTGTTTTGAATCTGTAACAGGCGATTGAGTACAGAAGTCTGGCTGACAGATGACCTTTAACATTGTTTTCTTTTAGATTGATGTATTTAACACGCTGGCAACAACGAGCATTTTAAGTTGCCTGCCTTTGGGACAATGCCTTCAAAAATAAGTTGGAAAATCTTGACAAAATCATGCAGATCGTCATCTACAGTATAAATTGAGTAATTTCAAGAAGAAGGTTGAGACACGTGGGAGCGATGTCTAGATTCAGAGCGCAAGATATCTTCTGGAACGAATGTATTCCAAGATGATACCCATTTCAACGAATTTTGAGCCATGACCCACCATGTGAGTCACATTATCTCACTCGACAGTCAATTCATGACCCACCATGTGGGTCACGCTGTCGTCAGTGTGTTAAGGATTCTGCGCTATATGTGTACTATTATGACGATATGACAGCATGACACAGTAGAGAACCGACACATACTACAGTAACAAATAGAGTGCACGCAATTTGAACTCATGAGCTGATACGTAATGCTTGCCGATGCTTTCTTTAGTATGATCCTTGCTCAACTACAGTCTGTCTCAATCCCATTCAAAATTGGTATGGCGGGAGTTCGCGTCGCTAGGGTTCCGCGGTCACACCCACGGCCTGTTTGTCTGCTCCCTCTTCAATCTCCTCGCTTTCTCCAACAGCACGCATATGCAGCGCAAACACTTAGCGCTGCGAGCGCGCAAATTTACGCCGACGGTTCGGCCTGATCCCGATTGGGGCAGACTGTATCTGCTAATCTTGGCCTCATAGGTATTTTTAATCTTCTTTTTTCAGCAGTTAAAGGCAGTGGATCGGAATCCAACAACTCGGGATTTTAACGCCTTAGGTTCCTTATCGCCCAAGTATGAAAACGGTGCAATCCGGTTGCACAGCATGCCTTCCCTGCCGAGAAAACCGCTCTCAATCTCACACGCGCAGGCCAATCTTACACGCATCTGGACGAGCTGGCAATTTCATCCTCATCGTTGGAGGCTGCCCGCCGCAACGCTATCACCATTGGGTCCTGCAACGATTTAGCGTCATCGGCCTTGTCCACTCGTCCAATTTCAAAGGGAAGGGCATTAAAAACGCTTATTTTCGCCGTTTTCAAGTTTTCAAAAGTGGATTCGGGATCAGCGTATTGAATAGCCCCAGGTAAGCGCAAATTTGACTAGGATGAGATTTGCCGAGCCATTGCCTCTAAACAAGATTGGTAAAACTTCTATTGAGACTAATTTTTCGGTGTTTTCGCTTTTTTGAGGTCTAAAAAAGTCGAGTTTCTAGCAAATAATTCCATCAGCTATCCCATCATGACCGAGAAGTCCGACCTGTCTGTTAATCATAGGAATAACTAACAAGTTCGGGCAAATGCTTTAAACAGTCAAATGAGTGATAGAACGATATGCAAATAACTAGCCACTTATATCTTTTCTCTAAAGTTTTAGTAGTTGGGTCTCAACCAGCTCTTATCACAGAAACAAAGGCCCCCTAAGAGCCAGTTTTTGGGTGATAGTTAAGTACTCATCTTTCCTATTCACTTCTGGAATCCCGTCGCTAATTTCGCGAGGGCATTTCGGGTTCGTACGCAAGAAGTTGAGGTCCAAGTTTTTTGCGTTATCATGGCACTGTCTGCGGTGCTTGCCCAACGACATAGTAGATTCGATCTTCTAAACCCGTTTATATGTCTAACTAAGAGGAAATCCCGAATTGCAATGGCGATCGGAACAAATTGCATATCGGTGATGCGCCTTGTTGAGCTGAATCCGAATCGGTCCTCCTCTCCGCTGCGAGTTCTCTGGAAGAAATTATGAGCGTTCAAGTGCCTAAGTACAGACGTTTAGTGGCATCCTTTCGAAGATTAGTTGTTGAGAAGCGCTTACTTATGTTGCTGGTTAGAGCGTGCATTGCTTGTAGGCAGCACACTAAACATCTTACCATATTGTGACCCTCGAGCTGATTTAAATCCACATCATGCATTAAGATCACGAAGACCCTACACTTTCGACCGCTCATAACTTCTTCCAGAGAATCACTATGGCCCGTAGTGAAGCTGCTTCATTCGATCTCAGCTGAATAAAATTTCAGTTGAGATTTCGACGAGTCAGCTTGCCTGCAGTCGAGCCATTGATTGATATTGCCAACACCCATGATGATAAGATTGAGAGCGCCACGTCCATGCAAGTATACGAGTCAAGACGAGTTTGCCAAACATTCACATCTACGTCACTGGTACTAGCGGCGGGGATGTGGCCGCACTTGTTAGATCTTGTTAAGTCTCGTCAACATCACTGTGGCTCCTCACCGACATGTTAAACTGCACGTGCATCGTAAGTTACTTAGGAGCAACTTACGAGAAGTTTCTCTGCGTATCATTATTGGCACACTATTTACATCAATTGGTAGTCTAACTGAATGTGAACTGACTGAAGTAAGGTAGATTACTCGTCAGGTAGATGGACGGTCAGCTGAAATCTCATTTTGCATTCTTACAACGTGGAGAGCTGATGATAGGCAATCTACCTTACTGAATCTTGGATGAGGGCCTCAGTTCGGTTCACCTGAACTGAATTAGCTTTACTACGGGCCTATATGTATTTCATTTCATCCAATGCGATTCAAGATCCTTACCTTGTAAGTCTAAGTGAAAACCATAAGTGTTAGCTAATATGGGAGTAGCGACAGAATGAAGGTGGCTGCCCCTTTACTCTGGCTTTTTGTTGCCTTTTTCATACTGACGACTGCTTGCGTCACGCCGCCTGAGACCGCTTGACACACATGGTGTGTCAGCTTGAATTTCGTCAAAATGACTACTTGACTGGAGATGGACTCACAAGTCTCCTTCTACGCTGAATTTAGGAGTAACCTTTATCCTTTTTCTCAGCCTTTCAGAGCTACTGTGAGTATGCTGTAGGTGGCAGTATGATAATTATATCTGTAAAATTCCAGCTGGTTCGTGAAAGGCCTTGGTCCCAGGAGGGAGACAGCTAAAAACCTGCACGGTTGTCAATTGATGATGCACAGCGCTAGTTTTTGAGCTTTTGCCATGCTAAATTGTCTGTCATGTTCTCCATCACCTCCTTGGCAATCTCAGATACTATATCACTTGAAGCCTCTTGCTGACCTTATTCTCCATTATTCTACCTTTTCCCCCGATGAAATTGAGCCATTGTTGTCCCGTCATGAACGCTACGGTTCTCTGCATTAATACTCTCAAAAAATGCGTATTTTCTGTTTCCGCTCATCACAGCATTTGATATAAGTTGAAAGAAATGGCGCTTACAAAAGTGAAAACTAACCAAACTAGCTTTGTTCAGCCTTTCATGCTTCTATATGCGTCAAGCGTAAGGGTCAGGCAATATCTTTCAAAAGCGATCCCTACACATCCGCCAACAAAAAACTTCCCTTATTCATCTTTTACAACACCTTACTGTGATTTTTGGAAAAAACGTAATGAAGAAAATTTTCTTTTTTTTTGTAGTCCGTACCTAGATCTACTGCACATGATCCTACGAAATGCAGTTTTATATTGAATCTAACGTTGTTCAAAAGCTTGGTTTCTCTTTGTAAAAAGTGTCTGTGACCAAATTTTACTGTCAACAGACTCTGAGTTTAGCCAGTGTCCGGCACAGATCGTGTGAAAGCAGGTTGGACTTCGTTTTTGGGGCGAAAAAACAAAGGGGATATCGTTTTTGTAGCCAAAAATTGAAGTTTTTAAATCGACGTGTTTTCTGAGTTTTTTATGTCTAGGGCTGACGTACAACTTGACAGAAATCAAGAAAAGCTGTGTTTTAAGGAAGCCTAAGGAAGTCTAAAGAAACAAACTCATGCGGGGCCCTGAGTCCAGCATCCATAGCAAATTTATTACTCAGAAGTTAGAAATTCAGGGAGATGTTTCGTGTCATTTCACCATGTTTATTATTGAAATTCGTGGAATGGCGGCAGACGAGAGCAGCGATTGTCGGAATTTTGGCATTTTTGAAGCGACTATTAACGAGCGATATGGGGATAGTTAATGGTGAATTAGTAAATTGATAACACCTACCAAGTCGCCAACGATAGCGATTTTCCACGATCTCGCGGGGTATACCGAGGCCTCAAAGTGTATCCAGACGCTGCAATTGAAGGAAACGTATTTTTGCGATGAAGACTATTCAGAAGCTGTACTCGAGGGAAACATAAGTACTTTACGGTAAGTGCTACTTCGACGAAAACTCTGAAAAAAGAGTCAAAACAAGTTGATGAGATCAACGCCTTGGCAAAGTGTCTCATCATGGGGATCAAAAGAAAGAAGAGATGTTTGGATTATGCGCAAAAGTAGGATAGACAAGAATGCCAATCGTACGGTCTCGGTGGTCAGACCAAGTTTATGCGTTTGTGCACTTTGAGGACGAAGTGCGTATTTCCACGCGCCTCTATTATAGTTGGCATGTGACGAAATTCAACCTGCACAATGTGCTCAGTGCAAGGTAAACGT